GAGTACTAAAAAGGCCTAAGACGAACGGTTGGAACAAATCGAAAATTTTAAGGTGGACTGAAGAAGAAGCGGCACTTACAAGTATCTGTATAGTTTATGTCCAACTTAGGCAACCGATACTGGATTCTATGATCCAAAATTCAATAAAATTGAACAAGTGTGGCATAGTTGATGGCGCATTATTTATATAAAATTAGAGGGATATGTACATACAATTTTGGAAGCAATTTTGTAATTAAAACAAAAATTCATTCACTAAATCTATAAATTTTACAAACAGCTCAGCTCAAACTATCTATCTTCTTGTAAGAACAACGTTCCATGCATGCATCTATAGCTTATAAATGTCCATGGAAATGGTTTAAATTCAAAATGTTCATTATACATGTACTCAGGAGAGAATTGACATTTAAAATGTGTATTTAAAAAAGAATTGACAAATGGGTACCACTTTAAGCCAATAAATGGCTGATGTGTCTGACTGCTGTCCTTTTACAGCAAAAAAGACACACAAACCCATATACACTCTTCATAATATGGCCTTTTAAGGACATTTAATACATTGGGCAAAAACGGTTGTAAATATTGTTCCAACAGCAGGCTGTGTGCTGTAGACGGTGACAACCCAAAAAAAATCGTGAAAATATTAAAATTCCACAAAACAACAAAAATGTGTGGCTGGCGCAAAAACCAATCAAAATGCATGTTCTGCCAAAGACAGGCACACGCACTTAAGCCACGAAAATATGCATATTTTCTTAAGAGCAGACAATATGTTATGGGGAATATATCTGAGAGAATTATTTCGGTAAGAACGTATATCTCTGAGGTATCTGTATAATGTGTGTAGACACATACAATCCTGTCAGTTGCAAGAAAAACAAGAACATGTTTTGTAAATAATTTGATGCTTTTTTTTTTGTCTGCCGGATAATAACTAAGTCTGATGATTTGTACGTGAGAATATTAAGGAGATATGTATGTATTTATACACAGATATACACATGCAATTTTAGAAAAGTCAATTTCAAATGTGATTATTTAGATTTTATTTTTTTAATAATGGCATTGCCTTTTTGAAAAGTCAATGTAACTCATGCAAATATTGCAGAGAGAAAAAAACTGGGCTGGAAATGATTTTAAAAAGATAGAACATGAATATCAAATTCAGAGTTCATATGAGTTCAAAGATTTGAAAAATATAAGAAATCAATGTTTTTTTAATTTTAAAATAATTCCTGGAAAACTAATAACTTTATTTTTTTGATATTGGAAGGAGTTTTTCAAATATTTTCTTGAAAAATTGAGAAAGGGCTTATTTAAAAAATTTTAAAGGCCCATGAAATGAGTCCGTTAAGAATTATTCTTAAAATTATTTCTCGGGAACAGGTCCTTCATTAAACTCATAATTAAAACCTAAACCAGCAACGAGGGTATTTAGTTCGGCGGGGTTGAATTTTTGAAATAATTTAAATCATAGACCTAAATTGACTAAAAATACCAAGTTGAAGTTCTTTTAGTACTGGATATCTTAAAAAACATCACTGTCTGAGATCCAGAGTTTCCAGATTCGCAAGCAGGACCTGTAATCAGTATTTTTCACCAATTTTTTAACCTAATTAATCTTTTATATAAAAATCTACGCCCACTTCAACATTTTGATAATTAGCGGGAATCGCTATATGGAGCTTTTGACATAGCATACGATTAGGTCGAACTTGAGAATAAATTGCATATTTTTGCCCACCGAGAGCTTAAAATAATCAATCTCAGCCTAATAGTTTGGAAATTGTGGCAGAAGCTTTAGAAATTGAAACAACCAGAATTTGAATTTTCCTTTTTCAAAGGCCAAAATTAAGACAGACATCTTCAGAAAATCAAATAAAAAGTGATAGCTTTTACACGAAAATTAACACAGCCCTTAAAAATTTACTAGGGTCCTTAGATATATTCTCAATTTTTTTTAAGTTAAAAATTATCGATCTGTTTTGCCGATAAATGTATTCCATTAGTCAATGGGTGCATATTCAAATATATTTCGACTTGTTTACTAAATCTGTTGACCCTGTACATTTGTCCTAAGTCTGATATTATTATATCCTTCACTTTATATGATACATTCGATCATTTTTGAAAATTATTGAAATGTGAGGGATGTACGAGAAAATCTAATATATATTTCTAATATTATGCGAATAAATCTTAATCAAAAATGTAACCATTTTTGGGGGTGGTATGAAAAGGAGTGGGCTGGAAAAATGTCAAATGTTATCAATTTAAAAAAGAATCAATGACTTCTTTCGCAAATTATAAGAGATCTAAGTATTGAAGATTTGACCTTTATGTGGCGGACGTACCAGAAGGGGTGGGTCAATATCTATCATGCTCACATGAGATCTTCTGTTGGATGAAATATTGGAATGTGTGAAATTTGGAAGGAATCTAACAGTAATTTAGAATTTCATGAGCGTTTTGTTATTTAAAATGTGAACCCTTTCTAGAAGAGGTACCAGAAGGAGTGGATATATCCCACCATCACATCCGATTATGTGTTAACAAAAATATTTGGATTTGCCAACTTTGAAAATAATCGGATGCTTATTTCATTTTCTGTGAGAGATAAAATTATTCAAAATTTTGGACCCGTTGTAGGGGAGGTACCAAAAGAAGTGGTCTAGTATATTATAGCTTCACATCTCATCTTGTTTTGATAGGAAAATTGAGAAGTGTCGAGTTTGAAAGGAATCGAATGTTCATTTCTCGTTTTACTAGCAGTATGGTTATTAACAATTTTGAACCTTTCTGGGGAGGTACTAGAAGTAGGGGTCCGAACCGTCATATCCTTATTCCACACCTAGAGTTGTTAGAAATATTGGGATGTACGAAATGTGAAGACAATCTGGACCGCTTTTTATAAGAGTTATGATTATTTCAATTTTTTATCTTTTCTGGTGGAGGTACTTGATGGAGTGGACCAATAATGTCCATTTATGAACCTAACTTAGCGCTGATAGAAATATTAAAATGTACAAAATTTGAACGAAATTGAATAATCCTTTCTTGTTCTATGAGGTAAATTATTTTTTATGGAAATGTTGACCCTTTGTGGGGTAGGTGCCAAAAGGATTAGACCGATGTTACCCATCTTTGAACTCGATCCAAGTATGACAATTATAATACAATGTACTAAGTTTGGATCAAATCGGATAATCCCTTCGATATTTATCGTGGAAGAAAGACAGACAGACGGACAGACATCCCTAGAGCGACTCCAAATGTCTAAAGAAACCTAGGATCTAAAACCGTTATTTCTATGGTGCACGTTTTTATCGTATTCAATGATTTATACCCTCTCTAGCCATATGGCGGAGGATATAAAAATCTCCAATGATTGCTTATAAAATATTGTTAAAAAATGCACGAATGCATCCTTAAAAAGCTTAAATGTTAAATCCTTACTTAAACAATTATATCAATTTTTAAAAATATTTTAAAAAACATATACATTCTCTAAAAATCCCCAACGAGTCCTTAGACATATTTGCAACAAATCACAATCGTTAAAATTCTAGGATGCAATCCTCAGAAATCTAAATGTTCCTAAAATCTTTAGTTGAGTCCTTGAAAATATTTTTAGAAAATAAGAAGTATATTTTAAATTGAATCCTTTTAAAATATATAAATAAATAATTATAGTCCTAAAAATCATGCTACAGTTCAAGTCCTTATATTTTAGTTTGTCCTTGAGTCCTTGAGACCATAACTTGGTCCTTATAATTTTTTTCATTCTCAGATTTACGTCTTGGATATTCAAAAAACCCACGATTGTTTCCTCAAATTTTGTTTAAACAAGTAAAAAAGCAGAAGGTTCGGCCGGATCGAATATTGAATACTCTGCATCATTTGGAAGGAAATTGGAAATTTTCAAAAAAAAAAAAAAAGAAATCTGTTACGATTTTCGTAAAATCAAATATAGGGAATGTGGTCCATACGACTACGTGGACCTGCATAGACAATTTTCTGTCACAGGCTGTAGTACCCATTACGAATTGCAAATACGAAATTTTGAACAATTCCGGTGAATAATGTCGCTAAAATATTCAAAATATCGAATGCAAGAAGGTACCGTTATATGGGAGCTATACGAAGCCTTGGACCTGCATAGGCAATTTATTGTCACAGGCTGTAGTACCCAGGAACTTTAACTTTAGCAACTTTAAATACGAAATTTAAAACAATTCCGGTTAATAATGTCGTTCAAATCGTCAAAATAACGAATATATGGAGGTTTAGTTATATGAGGGCCATACCTAAACGTGGTCTTTTGTAGCCCATTTTCAATATCAAAAGTCCTGCAGACCAAACACACATTTGCGTACAATTATCAACCTATTTCAATTCGTTCGGAAGCTAGAGTGATTTCTACAGATTTTCGAGGTGTTACAAACGGAATGACAAACTTAATATCCCCTCCATACTATGGTGGAGGTTTTAAAAATCTCATAGTGAGTCCTTCAAAAATATTCTTAAGAATTGTACAACTAACGCCTTACACTTATTATTTTCAAAATCCATGATGGAGTCCTTGCAGTTTTCCTAAAAAGACATGACGGAACTCTTAGATATATTTTTAAAAATAACTATACATTTCCTAGAGATGTGGTTTTATCCACTACGAATTAGTCTGCAAAAAGTTCTTGGTATCATAAAAATAATATTTAAGAAAATAATATTCTAATAGCTCTTTATTTGCTGAGTTCGCTTCGTAATGAATTCGTTGAAAAATGCATTAGAAAATTAAACATATATAAATTGTCCACGAGGGAGCTCTTAAAAACGCTACTAGTCCTTTAAAAATCGAAGAAAAAATATTTTTGAAATGTTCATGGTAAAGTCCTCGCGAATGTTGTTCTTGGTTTCTAAAAAACTCCACAAAGGAATTTTTATAAAAAATTCAATATTTTATATTTGGAATTCAAATATAGCAACTTGGAACTTACCTCTTCTGGCAGCCATCTTTTGACACGTTCTTTTGTTTGAAAACCATCACCAACGCCACCATTGTTGTCCCCCCTCAACTCCTCTCGCACACTTTTGTTGCTGTGCGACTTTCTTCGCTTCAGGTCATCCATTAGCATGCTGCGTTTGAGCCTCTCGCTGGCACAGTGTTCGGCCTTAGAGGATTTCGATGGTTGATCTACATCGCTTAACTTATAGATAATCGTGTGTACCCCCGCATCCTGGAGATCCGGTGAGTAGCGGTGTGATGGTTCTATGTAATATTGTTCAGTGGGTGTTTCAATGGTGCCATCAATTAGATTATCATTGGTGAGTATGGCATGTATGTGGGAGTTTTCATCATCTGTAAAGGGAAGAAGAGAAGAAATAAGTTTTACTTCATTTTTTTCTAAGAGAGAGAGAGAGATAGAGAGAGAGAAGAATTGTTGTTCATAGATTAATTGTACAAATTAAACTTTCTTGTTCCCTATTTTGCACTTTTCAAACAAAAGATATTTCATAATTGAATTTGTAAACATTCCTAAAACTTATGACAGCTGTCAACAACAGATTAGTTACTTGGAATTACGAACAAGACTTACCAAAGAACAAAATCACTTTTAACTACGAAACAAAAAAAACGAGAAAAAAAGGACGCCAAGTGAAACTCCCTTAACCTGATCCAACCCTAAAGCCATCCATGGCTTAGCGCGCTCAAAACTACTAAAACTACCTTCTCTTCATAAATAAGGAAATTCCTGGCAAGCTTAAAAAATATTGACAAAAATGTTCATGTTTATCTTGGCAAGAAGCAAAAGAAGAAGGAGAAGAAGCAGAAGCAGAAAAAAAATGCAAGCAAAGAAACTTCCTTCAACTTGAAACTAAAACCAAATAAGAAAGCTAGAGGAATTGCAGCAAAAACCACCCATTCGAGCTGTGGGGGTGGTGGAGGCGGTGGTCTTGTTGGTCTCTGTGTAAAGTGTGCGGTTAAACCAAAATAAATTGTCAATGACATAAAAACTGAAACCCCCAACCCCCAATTGCAGGCGAACAGCAACATACCAGCCATAAAATTCCATAAAATAATTCTTGGCAAAATCTTTTTAAAAGTAAAACAAGAAGAGACAAAAAAATCGAAAGCAAAAAAAAAAAAAACAACACACGGAAGAAAATAACCACACATCGTCGTTATTACTTCAAAGGATTTCCAAAGGCAAAAGAATTGGAGAAAAGGACAAGGGACGGGGTGGGGCAGCAAACTATCAGACTGCGCTCAAACAAAGCCAACATACCACAGCTCCATTGAAGCATAAGGCGAAGGAGTAGGGAATATTAAAACCAAAGTTTATGCATTAAATCAATTTGCCAACCAACAACAATAAACAGCAGAAAAAAAGGAGAAGAAGGACCAGACCACTAGAGCGTTGAAAAAAAAAAAAAACACAATATCATTGTTTTTTCTTGTGATTTTATTCTCATTTGTTCTTTGTTTATTGCATCGTCTTGTAATCGTGTTGGTATGCGAAAGGAAAACAATTGTGTTTTGGAATTTTTTTTCTGCTGTCGTAGTTTTCTCTCGTCTCTTTAGGTTAAAGGGTAGTGGGTCTCGATGGGCTACAGTGAGTGCAGCGTGATTGAAAAACGAATTTCGGACTGTATAATGTTATTATGAGGTCATTTGAGAAAAATTATAGCTCAAAAAAATTTTATTAGTATCTGAACATAAAAATTGTATCGTTAAAAAATTGATTCAAAAATTGATTAGCCAGATATTTACATTCCTCAGGAAAAATATAACAAATTATGGCTTAGGTTTCCTTATCCGTGAGTAGTTTCCAGGAGTACTAAAACGTTGTAGTATTTAAGGTTCGATGGCACGCGGCTTTAGAAAATGCGTTGCATACATAATCAGGATGAGCATAAAAAAATGTTGGTCCCGTAGCCGTCAGGCACAATCAAGGAGAACCCTAATTAACACATGTTAAATATTTTGTAGAGAAATTTACTATCCACAAAACACCTTGTATAGTTAACAGCCAATTTAGCTGAAAATATTGACAATCTCAAAAGACGAAACACATTTTTAGTTAAATATGTCTACCAATTTTTCAAAAAGTTATTTAAATTTTTTTTAATAAAAATTCTTGACTTTTTCGTACAAGAAGTTCTTTAATATAATCATACCTGCAAATTTTTCATAACATTTCACAGCACAATAGCCACTCTGGGTTTTGGATTCTAAGTGGACTTAAGGGAACTTGTTTGTAGATCAAAACCCCGAAGGAGTTTACTCCAAAACGTCGGTAAGGCCTCTGTAGAGTTTTGACTGTATACAAAGGGACTCCTTAAGATTGAGATATATTTTGCAATATTTAAGATAAAGATTTGAAATTTAATAGAAATACATCCAGAATTATTGATACAATCAGTTAGTCCTATAGATCCATTTTTAAAGAACCAATTAAGGATAAATGCGATTTCATGTAAGTTTTAAGTTTCAGATATGTTTTACATTTAATCTCGCCAAATGTTGGTATTATAAGCTCTTATGGACCGAAGTATTCCACTTCATTTAATATTGAAAAAAAAATATTGCCATGAGCATCTAACATTTATTTACATAATTCCATGATACCAGAAGGAGTGAGCAGATGAATTATTTATTCACGTCAGATTTCAGGTTACCAAATTATAAAAGAATCGCTGTTTCGCAAATTATAAGAGATATAACTGTTGAAAATTGCGACCCTATGTGGGAGACGTACGAGAAGGATTGGTCTGATATATTTCATCTTCACACCAGATCTTGTGTTAATAGAAATATTGGAATATGTGAAATTTGAAGAGAATCGGAGAATGCTGGTTATTCAAAATTTTGACCTTTTATGGAGGAGGTCCCAGCAGGAGTGGACCGAAATATTCAATCTTTACACACGGTTTTGTGTTAGTAGAAATATTGGGATGTGCTAAGTTTAAAAATAATAATAATAATAATAATAATAATAAAAATAATAATAATAATAATAATAATAATAATAATAATAATAATAATAATAATAATAATAATAATAATAATAATAATAATAATACTAATAATAATAATAATAATAATAATAATAATAATAATAATAATAATAATAATAATAATAATAATAATAATAATAATAATAATAATAATTATAAAATAAATCGGATGCTTTACAGTTATTCAAAATTATAACCGCTTCATGGGGGAGGTACCAGAAGGAGTGGACCGATTCTTATTTCCAATTTTATAATTCTTTTGGTTATTTTAAACTTTGACTCTTTGTGGAGGAGGTACCAGAAGTAGTAGACCGATACATTCCGTCTTTACAATATTGTGATGTGTGTAATTTAATGAGAATGGGACATCACATCACATTTTATAAGAGTTATAATTATTTAAAATTTTGACCCTTTGTGGGGCGGTACTTGATGAAGTGTACCGATATTGTCCATTTTCGAATCTGCCCTTGCACTTTACAAAGTTGGAGAAAAATCGGATAGCAGTATTTTTTTTTTTTTTTTTTTTTTTTTTTTGAAAGTGTCGACCTTTTGTGGAAAAGCTACCAGAAGAAGTGGACCGATATTGAACAACTCCGAACTCGATCTAAGTTTGATAATAATGTTACGATGTACCAAGTTCGGACCATATTGGATACTCCCTTCGAGATGGACGGACATCGCTACTTCGAATCCAAATGTCGAAATGTCAAATGGATTTGGTCCAAAGAGGCCTAGGGTCTAAAACTATTATTTCGATGAGGCATATTTTGGCCGTATCATATGATATATACCCTCTCCAGCCATCTAGCTGAGGGTATAAAAACATACGATTCACAGGGTGAGATGAAAAAACTGCAACCAACTTCAGACTGCTGTCATTTCTAAGCCACTCGTCCGACAGCTGTTAAAATGATTCCAGTGACAGCTCATTATATTGTGTACAAGCAAAAAAGCATTTTGTTGAGAATTTTCCAGGAAAAAAGTTATTCGTGATGGAATTCAAGCGTGATAGTGTGATTTCTTTATATTTGGCTGGTGGTTATGTGGTTATCGTTAGAGCACTTCAGCATTTAAATGGGAATCAATATTTTGTGTCTCGTACCATCGCCCGTAATCGTGATACTGGTAGCGTAGCGACGTCAAGAAAGTGGACGGAAGAAAACAGCAACATCAGCAGAAATTGTACGAAAAGTAAAGGAGCGACTTGATCGAAATCCGTGTCGCAGTGGCCGAAAAATGGCTCGTGCGCTGAACATATCGCAATATTCCTTTCGGCAAATATTGAAAAAGGAGCCACCGCAACAGAAAGAAAATAGACTCAAAAGAGCTGAAGAGTTGACCAAAAGTGTGAACTGCCCAATTTTGTTTTCTCCGATGAGAAAACATTCGTTGTCCGGCAGTTTAAAAACAAACAAAATCATCGTGGTTACTTGCCAAAGAGGTCAGCTGAAAATGTGCACCTCCGAATAGCCACCAGAACTCAAGCGCCGGCCACGGTGATGCTGTGTGCCGCCATAACAGCCGATGGTCACTCTCCGCTCGTATTGATCGATCGTGCCATCAGAATAAATGCCACAAAAATCTCCGGATACCAATCCGTTGGACTATTGTGTCTGGAGTATTTTGGAAAGCAAGGTTGGCACTAATACATACCAAAGTGTCAATCATCTCAAGTAAGCGCTTCGCCGTTAATGGGCCAAAAACCGCAGAGCAATTTTTAGGTAGCGTGTGACGGTTTCATTGGCTGTTTGAAGGCCATAATTCGTGCCAAAGGTGACCAATTCGAACAAATCTAAACTCATTATAAAATTTGATGCTGATTCCGAAATGTTTTGCTTTCATTCAATAAAATAAAAAAAAAAAATAAATTAAAAATTGTCTTGTGTGACTTATGACAAATTGAAAATCATTAAAAAAAACTACATTTCATTAATTTTATAAAAAGTATTCGAAATGTTGTTAAATGTCAACATTTTGTATATAGAGTATATGATATGACACAGAGCCAAGTCATTAACTGCATTTTCTAAATTTAAACATTGAACTCTTCGTAGATAGAAAACCTGTTTTCAAGTTTTGACGAAAATATATTAGATGTAGCATCATATATAAATAAGGACCAATTAAACATAGGTTTGGCCGCTTAAACCTTCCCCTGATATTAAAAAGAGTGATTCCGTTGAAGGTTAATAGTACATCTAGTCAACAGTAAAACACCTGCTATGCTACTCACAACATCATTCACACCACTGTCTTCCAGATAATAATTCAAATTATATTTTTTTAATATCCGACATCTCCTTAATCGTTTAAAACATTTTTTTTCTTTTAATTGTT